GTCCACGGCCTACCCCAGTTACCACTACTGTGCATGTGTGTCAAGGACAGAAAGGCAGACGTGGCAGTGGAAGGTGTCAAAGCAGTTTGGAGAGAAAAAACAAAGTAAAGAACAAAAAAAAGAAAATGATTAATCGATTATTAAATTAGTCATCGATTATTTTAATAATCTATTAGTCATCGATTAATCGATTAATCGTGGCAGCCCTACTATAGGCTAAAACTCAACCAAATGTACAGATATTGGGATAAAATGTAAAGTAGTAGTTACGAAAATGGCTACAGCTCTGTCCTTTTTTACCATAAGATGTATGCAGTGGTGCACAATCCAACAAAAATATGGAATTAATGCTAGCAAAATCTATATTTCTATCAAATGTTAAAAGTACTTTAGTTGGTGACAGCTATCAGAAACTGAAATAGAAGGGGGAGTAAATTTGAACTGAGAAATCCCCACTGTCTGTCTCCAAGATGTCATTAAAAAGATCAAACCACTTGAACAGAACGTTTTCCTACCTAGTGTAAACTTATGGCGTACACTGGTTTATTTTATTTTTATTTTTATTTTTTGTATTTGTTGGTTCTTTTTCAAGTTGCTGACTTTGACTGGTTTATTGTTTATTGTGACTGAGGGTTTAAGACAGTTGCATCATATTTTCCTCTCTTTTTGCTGTCAACGCACAACAATAAAAAGATAATTAGCATCGGCACATTCTTCCTTCTTGCTTGTTTTTCTTTTGTTTTTATCGTTTCCTGTTGGCGCTCTAGCTCTTGCTAGTACCACGCTAAATTATTTACAGCAAAAATATTGACGGTAGAAATCCATAGCGTCACCAACGTGCCGGGCTCGAAAAGGTGACTGAATTGTTTCTCACAACTTTCGCAAATTCGCTTTCATGTCATTCGCTTTCGCACACCACTTGTTTCTGTTTGTTGTATTCTTTTTTTTTTCTTTTTTTTTACAATATCGAAGAGCTTCATGTTTTCTCTCTGGGTTCCAGATTGTTTGGGAGAACTACAATGGCTGACAAATTCGACTGTGACCACTGCAAAGAATCCCTGTATGGTCGCAAGTACATCCAGTCAGACGACAGCCCGTACTGCATCCCCTGCTACGACAGCCTGTTCTCAAACACATGTGATGAATGCAAAGAGCTGATTGGTCACGATTCAAGGGTAAGGCTTCCATTTGGACATGATCGCATGTAACAAACCAGATTTTCAAATGAAAAGGGTGGGGGGTGATTATGGATACAATTTATTCTTACATGAATGAATCTGTGATCCTGTTTTCCAGTCTGAGCACCACCCATCATCAGATTAATCAACACTAAAACGCTACAAATACACTATGTCCTTGATTAGCTGTAGGCCATTTTTATGTGATGACGTGGCCTTAGATGACTAAAGCAGAAGTTATGGCGTCCTAATTATGTATAATTCTTAGTAAATGAGGCACGTCTTGTGTGTTTTGTGTGGCAAGACACTGTAAAGTCTAATTTAATAAGCAATTCTGCAGGCAGTTTTCTTTAAATCCACATAAGCCAAAGGACTAATTTTGTCTGAGATGGCAAAAAAAATAAATAGAATGAACAAAAGCCTCTTGTGCTTCACCAAATTCAAGTTAAGATTCAGTTTTCCTTTAGTGGAAAAGACTAACAGGTGTTGATCCTTTGAAACCAACATGTTAGTGGAGTTTAAGAGTCGTGCGTGCTGCAGCGAGGCATCAACACCCTCATGAGTGATAAATCAACAGAATCATCAAGTTTTTTTTTGAAAACGGAGCATTATGTAAATGTGTTCTGTTGTAGTTTATCTATATACTGTGTGCAGAGTGTCAGTTTCACCTTAACCAAACGGACACACCCCTCTGCTTCTATTGTAAATCCAAGCCTATATTTACATTTAGCCTTCTCTTATTTCCCTCTCAAGTTCCAAAATGTTTTTGAAGGAACACATCTGAGTAAATGTGGCCATGTACCTGTCGAGCTTTTACACCTGTGAATGACTCCGGTTCGTTCTTGTCCTCGCTTTTCGCTCGGCTGCCAGGAGCTCTTCTACGAGGACAGGCACTACCACGAGCACTGCTTCCGCTGTTTCCACTGCGACCGCTCGTTGGCCGACGAGCCCTTCACCAGCCAGGACAACTCTCTGCTCTGCAACGACTGCTACTGCAACGAATTCTCCTCCAAGTGCGTCGCCTGCGACAAGATTGTCATGCCAGGTACGAGTGGAGAAAGTGCTGCGAGATTTGTTTTTTAGTGCAACAGGCATTAACACTGTCCTAACATCATTATTTAAAGGGGGCCTATTATGCAAAATTCACTTTTTAAAGTTTTTTTTACTCAACTTTGGGTATGGACTTCTTTTAAAAAAAACAGTCCTAGGACCAAAAAAAAATGCACCCAGGGGCATATTTACTGTAAGTAAATGTATTTTTAATGTATATTAACGACAAGTTTTATACTTCCGTCATTTTGTGATGTCACAAGCCGTACGACAGCCCACCGGAACCTGCGTTCAGCCCCTTACTTACCAACCCCTGGGTGAGGCTCCACCTCCTCAGTATAAAAATCCATCACGGTTGTTATTGTTCAATGTGCAGCTCATTTCACAACAAGCCTCCAATAGAGCAATGGATAGAGTGTTGGACCAGAGAGTGGGAGACCAGGGTTTGAGACCAGCACGGACACAATTTAATTATTTATTTTCATTCGTCATGAACACGTTTTCTCATGTACCTCTATTGTTTAGCTTATTAAAGCCTTGTTAAAGCCTATTTGTTCAAATTTCTGAGGTATTTTGACCGCTGCTGCTCCCTGCTCTGGTAACAGCATGCAGAGTGAGCGCCGAGCAGAAGGGGGGAGGGGGGGGATAAGAAGCTGTGACAACAACTCTGCCTCTGGGTCTCAAATGGTTGTACAACGGAGCTTCTGCTATTATTAGCCATGCTAACGTAAACGCTGGTTTTGGAGGGCGGAGTTAATGTCAACAGATTTTTGGAGGGCGTTACCAACAGAGCTCATTAACATAAACAGCTCTTCTGAACAGAAGTCAGAGCAGGCAGAACTAGAAAATGGGAAATTTTATTATCTGAGAATTATTTTGTGCATTAAATTGAATGAACATGGTCTGGATAGCCCACAGACATACCATAAAAATTTCTAGGACCCATAATTGGTCTCCTTTAAAATCAGTTTTAGACTAAAATTATTTTTATTTTGATAAATCGTGTGCATTTTCATATTATGAATGACTGTCAGCTACTACCACACCAAATCTTTGCTCAATATCTGTTCTAGCAATTTTTGTGTTTTCTACAGAAACTTTACTGCAGCAGATATGTTGCATTAGATTACCCAGTTAAATGGTTGTAGGTGTCGACTCTTTGATTACTTTCTAAAAGCTAGGCGTGGTTCTAGGGGCGGGGCCACAGGTGGGGATTGGCCCCAGCTGACATCTGATTGGCCACTTGAAGTTCTCTTGTTCTGTCACTCATCTGTCCTTTGTCCCGAAGTAATGATGGTGGATGCAGTTCCGTGTCCAAACACTAGTGGTGCTAATGAGTCAAATAGAAATGTTCAACATGACTAAAACTTACAAACGTCTTCTTTTCTTCTTAAAAAGATTTTAATAATCCTGCAGAAAAAGTCTTTCAACTGACACAAGATGACTGGATTTACTCACATGCTGTGTTTGAGAGTATTTTATTGATGTAAAGTAAAAATGCATGTGAAACTGGTAAGAATAATTTCCTGTGCAAGCTTTTGTAATTACATTACAAGTGTTTGAACATGTGTGATTTGTTAAATGTATACACTTGACCAAAACTGGGGATGTGTGTAAGAGGATGTCGAACAAATTCTTGACCCCTCGAATATTGTGGCTCCTTGGTGACCCCTATTCAGAAAAATCCTAGATCCGTTATACTGCAGAAAGCTCAATTAAAATCAGTTCAGTGACTCATTACATATTTTGCTGATAAGACACAAAGACACGCACACAAACATTGTTGCTTCACCTCTGCCTTTGGCAGTTGGTGACAATTAAAAGCGTAGAGTTTCATAGCTTTCAACTTTTAAACCAGGAATGAATTTAAAATGAGCTTAAAATCATAGATAAAGAGGTTGATTTCATTAAAAAAATAAAACATTGAAGTTCTTATATAAAATATCTCATATGCAGCTTATTTTAAAGTGCCACACACAGCATACAAGCTTTATCGTTTTCCATTGTTTGCCATGTAGTAAACTAATAGGAATGACAATAATGACTTAGGTAAAAATATGTATGACATTGCAAACTCATGGAGCCATGGTCAAATGATTATAAAGTAGTTATGGTTATAAAGTAATGTACAAATAAGTAAGTAAAGTAAGTTACAAATGGTTATAAAGTAGGAGATAAAGCAGACAGACAAAAGGGAGAGATGTTTTAGAAATAAAAAATGGGATGTAAGAGGTGAAAGCCTGAGGTCTAAACTGAAATGTGACAGAATAATGGTCTGCTTGACTTAATGTTTAAAGCAAATCCCCACAACCAGCAGAACTGATGATAACAAAAGATAAGCATGCCAGTTATCCAGTTTCCTTCAGTAGCTTCTGAAAAAGCTCAAAAATCTGCAAATGATTCCAGGAAAACATCTCAAACATTACATCAGTGTGGCGCTAAAATAACCCAATTTTCTGTTCAGGTTAAAACAAAATTTGTTCAAGATTGGGCAACTTTATAAAACATTATTATTATTAACCATTAATAGAATTTAGCCTTTTAAGTCTTTTCAAAAACATTTTGCATTTTTAGCAAGATGCAACTTGTTGGAACTCCTGTGAGAAATGTTCTTTCGCCAACTTTTCATAAACAAAGCATCATTTCACATTGTAGCTTGTTTACCTTTCTTTAGATCTTTTTTGTTTTAATCAGTCTCCTCCCATGCATCACAGCTAACATCGTTTTGTGTCGAGCCGCGGTGGGCTCTGTGTAAAGTCATCATCGGGAAAATTTTTAAGGGTATTTTTGTGTTTTTGATTAGAGAGCAGAGCAGCACGCCGCCTGGAGCGGAGAAACGTAAGCAGTTTGCAGAAATGTCAGCCACACATAAACCACCACATCACTGTAGGATGGATTGTTAGCAGCGCTGAGGAGGAAAAAAAGACCTTTTTTCCTTTAAAGTTTTCAGCAATATTTCATACGCAGGGGAGAAGTATGGAGCCTGCGGTATTCACATTTAAATCTAATAAATCTAATGGAAACACAAGATTCATTTGCCTCAGTTCAGCTCAAGTGTTTTAACTCCCAGTCGAAAAATAACACCGTCTCCTAATATGGTTCTTTCCCTTTCTAGGCACGAGAAAGCTGGAGTATGCGGGTTCCACATGGCACGAAGGCTGCTTCATCTGTCACAGCTGCGAACAGCCAATCGGCTCCAAGTCTTTTATTCCCGACAAGGATGAGCACTACTGTGTGCCCTGCTACGAAGACAAGTTTGCTCCACGCTGCACGCGCTGTAAAAAGGTTTAGAAATCTGCTCTAGAACCAACACATATAGGTCTTCTTAATGTGATTGCTGACATATTTTTTTTATTGTTACATTGTTTTGTTAAGGCTCTGGCTAAAGGAGGTGTAACCTATCGAGATGAGCCGTGGCATAAAGAGTGTTTCGTGTGCACCAACTGTAAGACGCAGCTGGCGGGTCAACACTTCACCTCCAGGGATGACAGCCCTTATTGCCTTAAGTGCTTTGGCAACTTGTACGCCAAGAAGTGCGAGGCCTGCAGCAAACCAATCACAGGCAAGAGCCCATCGCTCTGTTAAATCTTGTTATTCCGATCAGATAAAGTGTGCTACTACAATAAAAAAAAAGATTACCACTGTAAACAAGATGGGCTCAACGATTAGCTAACTGTTCTGTGGAGGCAGATTATAGGAAAGGCTTTGAAGTCTTGTTCAGAACGTACTGTGTGGGGTGAATTTTCTGCAACATTTTTAGTGGGGTTATTTCACATTAAGCAAACTTTAAAATTGTTGATAAGCCCTCTGTAAAACCAGGAAAGGAAAACTCTGTGACCCTCAATCATTAAGCATTAAACACTGTGATATAAGAAGTTTGCTAAAAGCAGCAAGCGACGGGTTCAGATTGTTATCATCAGGGTCTGACAGCAGTCGTCGAAAGGAATTCTGCAGAGATGAACTTTTTTGTTTACACTTCACTTTTTCTGCTCTCAGTTGTGCCATCTCTTTTAACGCCTGTGTTATTTCAGCAGATTACAACAGAAAAAGCTATGCAAATTCAAAAAAAAATTTTTTTTTTTAAATAAATAAAAATATCTGGATGTTTATTTTAGTAAGTGTAACCTCTGACATAGACGAACTACTTGAATTGCTTTATTTCCACACACCAGAGCCTAAATGTTGAGCTAATGTTAAACTATTTGGATGGGACATTTAATGGCCAACTCTTGTTTATTTGAGCTCGAGCAAACAGAAGAAGAGCTCTTAAGAAAAAAAATGATAGCTGATGAGGAAACCGTGCTTTGGTCTTCTTCTGTTTGAGGAGACGTCCTGGTGAAGACATTCAGAAACACAGTCTGTAAGGCTTGTTCCAGTCCTGCAAAGGTGCACTGTGAGAGCCTTAGAAAGTCTGGCTTTGACATTTTAAACACAAATTTTGGGGCTGATTTTGAACACTAAGTTATTTATTTTTCT